ATTACAGTAACAGAATCTTGCACCTTCAAACAAAACATTTGACAGTAACTTCCGTACAAGCATAAAATGCATTTTCAAAATAACCCGTAGTGTTATACAGTGACTAGATAATGATCTTCAAGTGCTAACACGTCAATGCAACCCTAACAATTGGATTAATATAAGAATAGAATGAAATAGAAAAATTGAATCTATCGAACAGAATTGCGTGGATGTTTACGCTATGTAAGATTATTAAGAAAATTCGCTGCATACGAAAAGGATTACCAAATGTAGTAAGGTAATTTTTCAGATGAAATAATGAAGATCGTCTGCGGATCTTGCTTTTTCAATTTGTAGTCGGACGACCGTAGCGGACACCGTCTACCCTTCTAGTGTATCGCCTGTGTGACAATGAGTGTTAAACAGTGTCCGCATCAAATGACTATGACGAAGTATTTCTCCTTAAAATACAGATGTTGATTCTCTTAGCAGTGTGTTGAAATGGTTTGAAGATCAGGAATGCCTTTTTCGTTGAAATTAGAATAAGGTTCAAGGTAGTCGGTGGTACCAAGGAGGACTTTAAAACTAGTTGTTTGAGTTAAATTTGACAAATATTAATTTGTCTAATTGCATCGAAAGAGAAATATTTTTTAATAACTTAGTCCGGATTGAGGGAGTGCAAGGTTGAGCGCGTTGTTCAGATCACACCTTAACCGTTTCTATGGGCAGACCGTTTTCATTTTTTTGATATCCGCTGTATCCACAGTTTTGCAATAATCTTGCTATTGAGCACAGGTTATTGAATCTATGAAAGAAATATTGTTCACTAAAAATGATCTCTCTTTATCTTTCTCCTCCATGTTGAATGCTGACTTTCTGAACAACAGAGTGTTTTGGCTTCCACACAAAGCGCTCACTCGTTGGAGTATATTGTGCATGTTCAACCCGTTTGTCTAAAACTGAGAGCCTTTTATTCTTAATTTCTATATCTGTGCAAATTACGTGTGTCCAAAAGAAAAAACATCTATTC